TGTCAATATTCAGTATTATTTTTGTGTATTATGAATTACCTGTGATTAGTGTTAATTTAATAATTGTAAAGAAAATATTTAAAGTGTTTGCTGAGTTCAAAAACTACTAGTTGTACATGTTTGAACATTCTTCCCTTTGTCAACCATTGATTTGTGAACTGTGTTTCACATCATACAGGTTTAGTTCTGTGTGTGAGTAAACATTCTAATATTGCTGTGCATTATTAAACAAAAAGTCATAGGTCTGTGAAATTTAATTGCACAAAATATTAAATTGTCAATTTAATTTTTCATATATTTTGAAATACTGAATTTTATTACCACCCATGCTATAAAAAGTGGTAATAGAAAAACCAAACCTTAAAAAATAGCCAAAATGGTCTCATTGTTTTCATTACTAGTCTCAGAGAAAGCACAGTAGGATGCACCGTATCCTTGTTATGCACAAGATCGCAATGTAATGTGTTGGAACTTGGATGTGCGCCTCCTGATTTCTTCAAAACACAATCTACAAAATTTCATATTTTTCATCTTCAATTTATTTGGTGCACCCCATTGGGTAATTCCAAATTTTGCAATAGCACATTTTTGAGGTTTGGTGTTGATGGTGTTTTATGAATTGGGTAGAATCATCTTGTCTCTGTAGTATTGGTATTAGTGATCTTTTATTAGATTCTTTAATTTTACACCTTGAGGAGGGTAACAATTATTCATTAAAAATTTTAATAAGCTTTGTTACTAAGTATTGTGTCACTTATTGATCTTCTGCATTTCAGTGTGAAAACGATGATGAATTGGAGTTTGAATTTCCTTGTTACAACTTTGTTGAGACTCTGGATGGTCTCTGGGATGAGTCAGATCCTCGTTATTGTGGACCAGATAGTTGCTATGGAGGTGTGAAGCTGCGCTCTCCACCTGAAACATTTCATTTAATTCACAGCATCTTTCCTCGGATTCAGGTCAGATTAGTTTCATGATTTTTAGTTTTAGTTATTGAATTTTTTTAGGTAATTGTGCTTGAAAGAGCAAAAATATTAATCATTTAATGAAGGAACAATATATTTGTTACATTTATTAATTTATGTGGGCTATTATCAAATGCATGAAACAAGTATTTGTAATGTTGAAGCGGGAGGGATTATAAACTCCACAACGTAAAAGAATGAAATGGAAAAGAATAAAATGCTTGGATTATGGAGATTAAAAGAAACATAAAGCAGAAATTATCCAAATTCAGAGTTGTCAGTTCCTTTTATGCAAGAAGGTCAATTTAGCTTACAGGCAATATAGTTGAAGAATTTACATTGAACAGTTTCCAGCTTGGTAATGTGTATCTGATAAAATGGTGACTAAACTTGAGAAGAATAAAGCATTATTGGTGTTATAAGTTAAATGTAAAGCATTTTTGTGGTTTGTAAATTATCAAAATCAGCAGTTAAGTGCTTCACTAATCATTGCATTTTTTTGAATTACTATGATGTGCAAGTTACAACCAATTTTTGTATCAAATATCACTTCCGTCACTTAACTGTGAAACTGTTTCTAATACAATATTACCTATCATATAACTAAGAAAAGTTGGATTCCGTGATGTAGTAAATTACTTCATTTTACACTTGTCAACATTCAGGTCAAGGAGTGTAGCAGCACGCCATTTAAATAAGTCGAGATCAAATTGGAGTTTATAACAATCATGTATAGCAATGGTTTTCAAACTTTTTACTGCATTGACTCCCTTCAAGTAACAAATTCTGCACACACCTCTCATTACAATTAAATTGTTAATAACAGCTAAATATCTCATTTTGGGGATTTGTTCTTGATCTATATTTTGTCTTGATTACTGCCATGGCTGAAAATCCGAAGTTCTCGCGCCTGCCTTTTGAAAATGTCGTGCCTCTCTGGGGAGGCGTACTTCAAAGTTTGAATAACTCTGATGTATAGAATCAATAACACAATGCAACTTGAGATAATCAGCACATAATAGAAAAGAAGAATTTTGATTTACTGTATTTAAATCATTTACATAAATACGAAAAGTAAAGGTCCAAGGTGTGAGCTTTGTGGAAACACCAGAAGTAATATAAATATCCCATAATATGTAGAATTTATACTTCACATTGTGAGTTCTAGTGATCAAATAATTTTCAAACCATTTCAAGGGGAAATCATTATTATTAAATAATAATAAATCAAATTTATTAAAATAAAAATAGTTAAATTATAATAAAAATATAAAAATTGTATTTAATTATTATTAATTATTGTAATATTGTGATAATAATTCGTTCCTTATCATACTTAAAGATATCACGTGATAGAAAGAAGATAAAGAGGAGTTTTTGCATATCAAAGGATCTATCTTATTTTACCCAAAATTTTATCTTTATGTGCACAGGTTCAACTACGGCGTACTGTGCAAAGTCTTAGTGATCCAGACAGTGACTTGTACCAATGGTTCGAAGGCTCAAAGTTGTGTTCTGGGCCCATTGAAAGCCTTATCACATTGGAAGAAGATGGTGAGGCAGTGGAAATGAAAGTGAGAGGACCCGTTGGATCAGAGTTGGCATGTTTCTATTTTATGGAGGAATTGTTAGGAATTGTTGACCAGGTACAGTGATATACATTCAATATGGTATATGTACTTGATAGGTCTTATAATTGCAATTGCTTCTGTCATAAATTAACATATTTCATCTTAACCAATCGCCTTAATATGCAGTTAACTTATGTGTTTGGAGAAGGTAAAATTTCCATGTCCAGTGTAGTAATGGTTATGTAGCAATAGTTTGTAAACAATATGGTGGACACAAAGTATTGCTCTATTCTTCTTCTTCT